TCGCGAGCCACTTCCGGGTCACAACACGGAGAATAAGTTATACATAGATTGTCAAATATAAGGGAAATTACCGATAGACCCCTGGTTGTCTTCAAGAGGGAGCTGGACAGATACCTGGATTAGTGGCCCGGTGGCCTGGTGGCTAAAGCTCCCGCTTCACACATGGAGAGCCCGGGTTCGATTCCCGGCGGGTGGAAACATTTCGACACGTTTCCTTACACCTATTGTCCTGTTCACCTAGCAGCAAATAGGTACCTGGGTGTTAGTCGACTGGTGTGGGTCGCATCCTGGGGGACAAGATCAAAGACCCCAATGGAAATAAGTTAGACAGTCCTCGATGACGCACTGACTTTCTTGGGTTATCCTGGGTGGCTAACCCTCCGGGGTTAAAAATCCGAACGAAATCTTATCTTATCTTATCTTATCTTACCTAAAGTCAGTGCCAGATCATCCGGGCTGTGGTTAGTACATTGGACTACGTGCGGCCAGCAGTAACAGCCTTGTTGATCAGGCCCTGATCCACCAGTAGGCCTGGTCATGGACAAGGCCACGGGGGCGTTGATCCCCGAAAAATCCTCCAGGTATAGCAGCATATGTGTAGATAATCTAGGATAACCCAATAAAGTCAGAGTGACTTAATTCCATTGGGGTCCTGGCAAACCTACCTGAACCACTTTCCACCCGGTCGAAAATCGAACTCGAATCCTTCGGTTAAGCCGAAGGGGCCACCACAGAGCCACTGTTAAAGGAAAAACAAAAAATAAGTCAGAGTCGTGGACATGAACATTAAGGAAAATAAATAGTAACGTAAAGCCCATTCAGCTTTAAACTTGACGAAAGAGCAAGATTTGTGTTTCCTTTATTGCTGTACAAAACGTATATAAGTCACACAGGTAAGACTGATATATTTATAGGCGTTAATTTCAAATAAATATAACAATCTAGTGTTAGATAAAAAGGGCATAAGTGCGACTAATGTTACATTTTATCGTGGCAACGTTTCGCTCTCCAGGAATTTTGTCAAGCTGTTACTAGGCAAATCTAGTGTTTACCCTAGTAAGCCAAGGCATTAAAAATCGTTTCGGCCCTCAGACCTTGGACAGTTTCGGTCTCAGAAGCAAAACGTTTTTTGGTATGTATATCCTAGTGTCTACTAACGTGTCTTTTTTCTAAACCACTTTCTCGGTATCAGTTACCAAGGTTTATACCAGGTATCAGTTACCAAGGTTTATACCAGGTATCAGTTACCAAGGTTTATACCAGGTATCAGTTACCAAGGTTTATACCGGTATCAGTTACCAAGGTTTATACCAGGTATCAGTTACCAAGGTTTATACCAGGTATCAGTTACCAAGGTTTATACCAGGTATCAGTTACCAAGGTTTATACCAGGTATCATTACCAAGGTTTATACCAGGTATCAGTTACCAAGGTTTATACCAGGTATCAGTTACCATAGGTTTATACCAGGTATCAGTTACCAGCTTTATACCAGGTATCAGTTACCAAGGTTTATACCAGGTATCAGTTACCTAGGTTTATACCAGGTATCAGTTACCAAGGTTTATACCAGGTATCAGTTACCAAGGTTTATACCAGGTATCAGTTACCAAGGTTTATACCAGGTATCAGTTACCTAGGTTTATACCAGGTATCAGTTACCAAGGTTTATACCAGGTATCAGTTACCAAGGATTATACCAGGTATCAGTTACCAAGGTTTATACCAGGTATCAGTTACCAAGGTTTATACCAGGTATCAGTTACCTAGGTTTATACCAGGTATCAGTTACCAAGGTTTATATCAGGTATCAGTCACCAAGGTTTATACCAGGTATCAGTTACCAAGGTTTATACCAGGTATCAGTTACCAAGGTTTATACCAGGTATCAGTTACCAAGCTTTATACCAGGTATCAGTTACCAAGCTTTATACCAGGTATCAGTTACCAAGGTTTATGCCAGGTATCAGTTACCAAGGTTTATACCAGGTATCAGTTATCAAGGTTTATATCACGTATCAGTTACCTAGGTTTATACCAGGTATCAGTTACCAAGGTTTATATCAGGTATCAGTTACCAAGGTTTATACCAGGTATCAGTTACCAAGGTTTATATCAGGTATCAGTTACCAAGGTTTATACCAGGTATCAGTTACCAAGGTTTATACCAGGTATCAGTTGCCAAGGTTTATACCAGGTATCTGTTACCAAGGTTTATACCAGGTATCTGTTACCAAGGTTTATACCAGGTATCAGTTACCAAGGTTTATATCAGGTATCAGTACCAAGGTTAATACCAGGTATCAGTTACCAAGGTTTATACCAGGTATCAGTTACCAAGGTTTATACCAGATATCAGTTACCAAGGTTTATACCAGGTATCAGTTACCAAGGTTTATACCAGGTATCAGTTACCAAGGTTTATACCAGGTATCAATTACCAAGGTCTATACCAGGTATCAGTTACCAAGGTTTATACCAGGTATCAGTTACCAAGGTTTATACCAGGTATCAGATACCAAGGTTTATACCAGGTATCAGATACCAAGGTTTATACCAGGTATCAGATACCAAGGTTTATACCAGGTATCAGATACCAAGGTTTATACCAGGTATCAGATACCAAGGTTTATACCAGGTATTAGTTACCAGGTATCACAGCGCCTGTGGAATGGAAGGGAAAAATGTTCGTTCTAAGAAAGGAAAGGATCCGTCCAGTTCCTTGGATCAAGAGCCCCCTCGCCGGAATAAAAATTTTTTATTATTATTACAATCAAGGGGGAAGCGCTAAACCCGGAGGATTATACAGCGCCTGGGGGGGGATGTGGAAGGCATTCAGGCTTAATTTGGGGAACTGGAGCACAGATCCAATTCCCTAAATCAAGAGCCCCTCACCAACATCAAGGAACCTTCCTTGAGGGGTCCGGAATAACAAAGCCCTCCCGTGAGGGGAAAGATTATTATTGTGATCATGGGGGAGCACTAAACCCGTAGGATTATACAGAGCACGTGGGAAAGGATGGAAAGTATTCAGCCTTAATTCAGGGAACTGGAGCACAGATCCAATTCCCTAGATCAAGAGCCCCTCACCAGCCTTGTTATATTAAACTCAGATTTTAAACGTATCCGTGAAGGTTGACTTTCAACTTCTGGATCTCTTATGGTTGTTGAACAACAGCTCATGGGCCACTTGAGGATATCTTCACAATGTCTTCTCTTAATTTTTCCAGGTAACTTACCGGGTTGAATTCCAACTCCTGGGCCTCTTTAAGGTGTTCAGCTGCAGCAATTTAACCTCCTAAGAGTGTTTAGGTTCATCTGGGTGCATTGAGTGTGTTAAGGTATATCTCCTGGTCCTCTTAGGGATGCTGAGCTACAGCTCAACTAATGTTAATGGGCTGGGGCTATGAAACGGGGGATACCTCTAGTCGTACAGCTACCGAAATACATCTATTCAGAACAAAAAGTCACAATAACAGTAAGTGTCTGGGGCCCAAGACTGTTCAACAGCCTCCCACCAGGCATAAGGGGAATTACCAATAGCTCCCTGGCTGCCTTCTAGAGGGAGCTGGACAGATATTTTAAGTCAGTGCCGGATCAGCCAGGCTGTGGTTCGTATGTTGGACTACATGTGACCAGTAGTAACAGCCTGGTTGATCAGGCCCTGATCCACCAGGACGCCTGGTCATGAACCGGGCCGCGGGGGCGTTGACTCCCGAAATACCCTCCAGGTAGGTAGGTACTATTATTGCAATCAGAACCACGCTCTAAACCCACCAGGGTCATGCAGCGCACAATACTGTAGCTCTTGGGCCCCACTTTGTACCCAGCATTAATACAAACATTCTATTTCCTTGTGCAGTATACAAAAATTTATTAAGTGCAGAAGAAAGCTACTATTATGTTATGCACTTCAGGCGTAGCAATAGCGAGTCCTGCTACAAGTTAAGTTTTCACTGTATGTATTCCGCTAGGGTCCTTGATTTGTATTCCCTGGAACGCAGGCGAGAGAGATACATGATAATATACACTTGGAAGGTCCTGGAGGGATTGGTACCAAACCTGCACACGAAAATCACTCCATATGAAAGCAAAAGACTCGGAAGGAGATGCAACATTCCACCGATGAAAAGCAGGGGTGCCACGAGTACACTGAGAGACAACACAATAAGTGTCCGGAGCCCAAGACTGTTCAATTGCCTCCCAGCATACATAAGGGGGATTACCAATAGACCCCTAGTTGTCTTCAAGAAGGCACTGGACAGGCACCTAAAGTCGGTACCTGACCAACCGGGCTGTGGTTCGTACGTCAGCTTGCGTGCGGCCAGCAGTAACAGCCTGGTTGATCAGACCCTGATCCACCATGAGGCCTGGTCTCAGACCGGGCCGCGGGGGCGTTGACCCCGAAACCCTCTCCAAGTAAACTCCAGGGGCTCTGGTGGACTGGTGGCTAAAGCTCTCATTTGACACGGCGAGAGTCTGGGTTTGATTCCCAGCCAGGGTAGAAGCTTTGGACGTGTTTCTATACACCTGTTGTCTATGTTCACCCATCAGTGGGTACCTGGGTGTTAGTCGATTGGTGTGGGTCGCATCCTGGGGGGTTTCTATACAGTAGTAGGCTTCTATATAGTAGTATGTCAGGTATGCCTCTCTTCAAACATCCCACATGTGGCAGTGCAGGAATGTGCGTTTGTTTACCTGCGAGGGAGTACAAAACGTTATCATGTGGCAGTAGCAAGAACAGTCTGTGACCATTTCGTTTTTTTTTTTTTTGGTCAAAATTCCCATTTCTCGGCCATCTCTTGAAGTTTACGGTTCTGGTATGACCTTCCCCAGGGATCATAACGCACATGTTTAACACGAAACATAAACACAGGTCCCTTTAACCCCATGCAAGAAGGAGTTCTGTCAATGGCCCAAGTGGGTATTGAATTTCTGGTGAGCGGCGCGGCCAATAGATGGCAGTGAGGCGCAGGAGGAGGAACAAAGCAGCTGTTTAAGGCAGTGTTGTCGTAAGTGTGGTGGAGGGAAGGTGTGCACGCGGGGCTCCTCCAACTCTTTGAATACCGTTGGGGAATAACGCTGCTGTCTTAAAACCTGCCAGCGTGGGTAAGTGCTGCTTTCCCTCCGGATAAACTCAGTGGGTAGAAAGGCAGAAGTGGGAGGGAAAGGGGCAAGGAGTGTGGGGAAGGCGTGTGTTTTAACGGGATTAGTATTAGTATATATGACTGGAAAACCGGCCTCAAGGGGGGGATGGGGTGGGCTGGAGGTTTAGAAAAGTTGCCAAAAAGGCGTTTCGCGGAGGGTTAAACGCCCGAGAAAGCTACCCGGTGGTCATGGTGTTCCTCACTACGTTTAAGGTGATGGTGGTGTTGGACATACAGTGTTCAACACGGCCTCGTATACGCCCTTATAACGCCATCAGAACGACATGGCGGGGGCGTACTTACCAGTTGAAAAACCAGACGCCAAGTGGCAAGGTGATGACTGGAAGATCCCGCGGTATCCTGCTGAACGGAACACGAGGACACTCGCTCCACACTCCCCTGACACTCCTGGATGCATTAAAACACACCTCAGGAGGACCCCCCCCCCAGTGCCCGATAATAGAGATATAGCAAGGGCGTTAGCGATACCTTGTAGCTCGGTGGCAGAGCGTTCGTCACAACCCAAAGGAATCTGGTTGAATCACTGGCAGGTGGGACTTATAGCTGTGCAAGTCTCCTAACACCTGATGTTCCTGTTTACCTAGCAGTAAACAGACACCCACGACTAAGTCGACTGTTGCGAGCCACATGTTTGAAGGATTTTAAGGCCAGCAGTAACAGTCTGGTTGATCAGGCCCCGGTCCACCGGGAGACCTGGTCGTGGACCGGGCCGTGGGGGCGTTGATCCCCGAAATACCGTCCAGGTAGACTCCAGGTAGGTAGACCCCAAGGACCAACGGACGACTGCTAAGACTTTCCAGGGTTATCCAGATTTAATAATCTAAATTAAGACTTTATAACAGCAATGTTAACTCGAGGAAGCTTGTGTAGGAAGAGGCTACCCAGCAGCATTTGACGACGACAACGACGACTACTGGCACGTCTCCAATATATAACGGGCGTAGCAAGTGTCAGGAAGTTTTTATGCCTTAGAGGAGGCGCGCCCACAATTCCTACCTCCGACCTTCCTAGGAAAATAACTGGTCAAGTTGCATGGAAATTGCTGTACTTGTGTAATGTCGGCTTCTCACTACATCGATGCATCCACTTTAAAGAAGAAATAACGTAAAAGTGATGGATGATTTTAGACTCTGGACATTTCGTTAGTGGAAGTTGAGAAATCTTCACAATGCCTCAAGGTGAATGATGTGAAGTCTGAGCTTCCAGTTGGTCATAAAAACCCCGAGCCACGTCCTCTGAATGTGAGGATATTCTTGAGCTGCGAGTTTACGCCTTGTGTAAAGTAACTAAGTGCACCCGATTCGGCTACCAATTTTCCACCCTGAAAGAAGGGGCCTTGATACTGCTGAAGTGCTCTTGATTTAAGGAATTAGAGCTACATTTCTCTTGGCTCCATAGAGACTTTCAAGATTCCCACTGTTCCTCACCCTTCTTCCCCAAGAAAACTGATAAAGCTATGTGGTGGCCACTAGATCTAAATAACAAATTACAGAGATATCTCACGACAGATTCAGGCGCTCAGACACAAGGGCCGAGTGTGTTGGTTAATAGCTCCCAAGCTGCCTCAGCACCTCTAGATGGTGTCTCCAGACAGTTTTGTTGGGCGAGAGTGGCAGAGTTTATAGGTGCTTCATCATAGTATAGTATTCCACCCCCACCCCATCATATCTATAATTACAAATAAATACTTTTTTTTAACATCTCTGAGACCCGATGGTAAACTGATCAATCGATATTGCAGTTTACCTTGTGGTTAGGCTGCTATACTCAGAATTGCAGATTAATTAATAATGGATTGCGTCCTAAAGATATGCTTGGAGTTTGGTTATTCATTGTTTTAATAAACATGTACTGTTTCCAAGGCACAAATAAGCCGCATATAAGAGAAAAAACTTATGACTACGTTTCTGTCTGACGTGGACCATTAGTATGCGACGAGTTATTGGTCCAAGACGGCCGGAAAATACTCTTAAGTTTTTCTCCTATGTGCGGGTTTTTTTGTGTATTGTTCCAGTCACGGCATTGTGTCTTTGTTCTTTACTGTTTCTAAGATTATCAAATTTACATTTATCAACTTAGTCATGAAAAATTCACTCGTATTACAGAAATCATAATCACAAATTAAATCCGTATTCACAGTTCGATCCATGTCATTGGCCATGGTAGGAAATTTAGACCAAACGGGGAAAAATATCCCCTCCATGTATGCGGAAAAAAGTGAAGGTTCTGAGGCAAGCACCTTTGAGAAAAGTGGCACCTCTCGGAAGAGGCTGGCCCCTGCCCCTAGGCACCAACCGTTCAAATAACGTTAGCAGGTTAATGTGACCCAGAGTCGGGGCCTTCAAGGGGGGCTCTTGATCCAAGAAATTGGACCTGCCGTCCTCGGATCGAATTCGATTGCCTCCCATGGAGGCCTGGTCATGGACCGGGCCGCAGGGGCGTTGATCCCCGGAATAACCTCCAGGTAACCCTCAGGCGCCATATAATCCCTACAGGTTGAGCACTCCCCCAGGTTAAATACAAGGGCAGGGGGGAGATTTGTGAAGCTGGTTAAGGGCTCTTGATCGAAGAAATTGGAGCTACCCTCTAACTCGTCCTTGGATCAAACCTAATTACTGCGCAAACCATCCTATGTTTACGGCACTAACCTTTTCGGGTTTTTCATATCCTCACGAATATAACGTAGTTACAATTTCGTTCACGCTGATGTTGAAGAGTACTTGTTGCTGATGCACGTGTTTGTAGCCGCTGGCGTGAGTCCTGCTGTTGTGTATTGCGAAGTGTTGATCCCATGTATAGTAGCTGAGTCTCGATCCTGTGTCCGCTAATTGCTGCCTAGTCTGATCAGTCAGGCTGTTGGTCTGAGTGTGTATGTGTTGCTGTACTCTGCAGGTGTCTCCGTTGGACGCCCCTGGCTAAGTGAGGTGTGTGTGAATGACCGTTTACTCTGCAGGTGTCTCCGTTGGACGCCCCTGGCTGAGTGAGGTGCGTGAGAGTGACCGTTTACAGCCGGGATCTCCGTTGAAGTTGTGTGTGGGCGATCGCTTGCAAGGTTAATCCTGGAATGTCAGTGATTGGTAACCAGGTAGTTTCCTAACCTCTAGTTATGATAGTGCAACGTGTTTAACACCATTAATAAATTTTATTATTATTAATTATTATTATTATTATTATTATTATTATTATTATTATTATTATTATTATTATTATTCGCGAAATCGTAACACAATTGTAAAGAAATCTCCGAGCGGATGGGACTCGAACCCAAGGCGAGTTAGTCCTAAAACTGGCATGGAGCAGTGGTTAAGCACATTAACGTAACTACCACTTGCTGTGGATTGAAGCTCCACCCATTCTGTGATTTATTACTATTATTATTATTATTATTATTATTATCATTTCTGCTGTTACTATTATTACTATTAACACTGCTACCATCATTACTTTTAACATTGCAGTTTGTTTATTATTATTATTATTATTATTATTATTATTATTATTATTATTATTATTATACAAAACCAACAATATCAACATCATTACTAAATTACACTTGTAATGCGTGTATACAAACAAATTTGCTTGTATATTATAGATAAAATTATTTATTCTGAAGTGGAACATACAATATTGATATTTAAGACAACTGGGCAGTTAGACGGCATGTATTATGCTGGTAGAATTACAGACTCCAGGAGCTTTGTCAATCCATTAAAACGTCTTAACAAAGCTCCTGGAGAGCGAAACGTTGCCACAGTAAAATTTTGCATTGATTGTACGTACTTGTGTCCTTTTACTTAACAGCTAGACGGCAGATACACATGGATACCTCCGTGTGTATACTCGTCGTCGTCGTCTTTTTCCTCCTCTTTTGTGTACCACCACCTCATCTTCTCTTCCATCGTTTCTTCCTTTTTCTTTCCTCGCGATAGTGTACAGGAAAGTGTTGCCCTATTGATCCACGTCTTGTTGATAGGCTTTGAACATTAATGAACACTAAAAATTAAATGCGCTATAAAAAATGTATTTGTGTGGCAGTAATGGTAGTTTACATAAATATGAGTTAGGCACCTGTTGCATGTTCTGTCATTACATAAAGATAAGTTAGGCACCTGTTGCGTGTTCTGTCATTACATAAAGATAAGTTAGGCACCTGTTACGTGTTGTCATTACATAATAAATTAGGCACGTGTTGCGTGTTCTGTCATTACATAAAAATAAGTAAGGCACCTGTTGCGTGTTGTCAAGGCACCTGTTGCGTGTTGTCATTACATAATAAATTAGGCACGTGTTGCGTGTTCTGTCATTACATAAAGATAAGTTTGGCACCTGTTGCGTGTTCTATCATTACATAAAGATAAGTTAGGCACCTGTTGCGTGTTCTGTCATTACATAAAATAAGTTAGGCACCTGTTGCGTGTTCTCTCATTACATAATAAATTAGGCACGTGTTGCGTGTTCTGTCATTACATAAAAATAAGTAAGGCACCTGTTGCGTGTTGTCATTACATAATAAATTAGGCACGTGTTGCGTGTTCTGTCATTACATAATAAATTAGGCACGTGTTGCGTGTTTTGTCATTACATAAAGATAAGTTTGGCACCTATTGCGTGTTCTGTCATTACATAATAAATTAGGCACCTGTTGCGTGTTCTGTCATTACATAAAGATAAGTTAGGCACCTGTTGCGTGTTCTGTCATTACATAAAATAAGTTAGGCACTTGTTGCGTGTTCTGTCATTACATAAAATAAGTTAGGCACCTGTTGCGTGTTCTGTCATTACATAAAGATAAGTTAGGCACCTGTTGCGTGTTCTGTCATTACATAAAATAAGTTAGGCACCTGTTGCGTGTTCTGTCATTACATAAAGATAAGTTTGGCACCTGTTGCGTGTTCTGTCATTACATAAAGATAAGTTAGGCACCTGTTGCGTGTTCTG